CAATTTGATTTGTAAAGATTTCTAATAGTTGCTGCTATTTCGCTGTCTATAACTATTCATCAATACGCATCATAAATCAGATTATACTAAGATACTCGTCCTTATCAATAACAGAGTTGTAGCTTTCGGTGTTTTATTTTTGTGGCTGAATTATCTTGATCAAAATAGAATAGACATCAGGATAATTACTTTAATATTATCACCAACTTTAACGCACTAAACCTTACAGAGTTTCACAAACTTCTTTATCTTCGTGAGTGAATATGCCATCCGAGCCCCCTTCATGAATTTTATTACAGAACTTGAGATGGTTTTAAAGTACAGACTTACATTCATTCAACAAGGCGACCGTTAAGGCGGGCTCTTTTTAAAAGATGAAATTAAGTGTGTACTTGAGAGTACTCCGCACGTTATCATTTATTCACTTTTGGAATTCTCCTGAAAAGCGTTGGTAGGAACGGCTTTTCTTAAACTACCATTACGGTCAATCTGAATATGGTGCGTTTGCTTCGCATTTTTCAGAGGTGCCAAATGGCAAGTCTGTGCTTATCATCCTGCTTCATTATCGACTAGGCGCAAGAGGGTTCTTTACTAAGCCAATAGCAAGTAACTTTCTGTCTCATATTTGCAGTTTGCACCGAAACTTCGATCGTCGGAGAGCTGGGGCGAGACAATATCGCCGATCACATACGTCGCCTTTGACATGGCGCGAATCAAGCGATTGCACAATATTCTTGCTCTGGATCGACTGAAGGTCATCGCGGAGGAGTGTGTGAGACGAACAGGCCTCTTTTTTTCCGTTGGCAGCTCTACAACTACCGTCTCTCGTCAGGAGTGCATCCAACATACTATGCCCCAAATGGGCTCCAATTTGTTGTGAGTTTTGAAACTGTGTCACATTGAGCATATCAGCCCTGCTATCCAATATCGAAAATCCAATGGTTGGATTAGACCCGGACCACAGTGATTTCTAGGAGGATTTGTTGTTGATAAATCGATATCAGGTCTTCCAACTTATCACGAAAGGTAATGAAAGTGAAACAAAACGATTAATTGTTTGGGTTACCATGTTTATCGAATCTTTT